GGGAAAGGGGTCAGGAGATGTGAGGGAGTCCCATACTCTAAGCTTCCCTTTCTTGCTGGGACTGGCTCTGGGGGTAGGGGCCGGGGTGTGGCATCAGGGCACTCCCCTCCACAGACTGGCATATCCTGCAGGGCCTCTGTGACTTGAGGCCAGGAACACTGCTGGGCAGAATGTGAGTGAATGGGTCCTTTGAGCCGTCCTCTAGGGCATGGGCCCAGTTTCCTGGAGCTCCTGAATGAGCATCTGTCTTGACTTGCGATGTTGCAGAAGGCCCATTGGCTCAGCAGCCTGTAACCATCAGTGACCACAGGCCCCACGTGTGACCCAGCACTCTACCCTTCTTGTTTAGGGCCCGCAGCATACAGGCAGCACCTTGGCACTTACAAAGCTGCTTGCACAGCTTTTCTGATCCTCACTTCAGTCCTCTGAAGATCATCTACCCCATTATTTTAAGATGACATAGAATACCCAAGGTCACATAGTTGGTGAGGAGATAACTAATAAGTAGACTTGTTTTGCTTCTTAAAATGATGTATTAGAGAATATATACGAAAGTTGTATTAGACTCTGTTAGAGTATACTTAAATGGAAATATGTGGTAATTGTTATATAGCAATCCTTTATGTAATCCTTAATTTATCCTTATAATTCAAAAATTAAAAAGGCAAACTAAAATATAGCTTATAATAGCTGCAGACAGTATGTAAGAGTTTTAGAAGTGTACTTCTTAGATTTTTTTTTCCCCTAAGAAAAGTCAATATAAAATCTTGAAGTTAAATATTAACTACCTGATTTGGGGGTTTGCTCTTAACAATCCTTTTTTTTTTTTTAATTAATGTAAACAAGTATTAAATGTAAGGAAATTCTAGGTGCCATAGACTCCATGAAGCAGGACAAGATACACTCCTATTCCTTATAATTAGAGAAATGTTACTGTTGTTGCATGAAGTTGACTGAAGTACAATCAAGCCAGTCAGTGTTCCCTGTCAGGGTTGTGGTGATTAGATCAGCATAGACATATGTCCTGGTATAGAGATGATACACAGGGGAATCAGCCACCTCACCATTGAGCAGAAGCTACCTGAAGAGTCATCCATTGTATGGATGTGTGGAGGAAGGATGAGAGACTGGAGCTGCTGCCATGAGGGACTCTAGCTTGAGGATGAAGCAACCACAGGAAGGAGAACAGAGAGAAAAGGAAAATGAGGCCTGTAGCCCCAGTAATAGCTCGGATTGAAAGCTCTGGGTCAAACTTCCTGAAATTTTAGCCTATGAATTTTTTTAATCTATGGGACCCACTGCATGCAGTTTGGGGTTGAACCCATTTGAGTTGTGTTCTCTGCTGTTTGGACCAGAAGATTCATAACTGTTATCCTCAGTGTTGAGATAAAGAAACTTTAGAGTTTGCCGGCTCTCATAGGCTGCTGGACACCAGCTGTCTACCTCCTGAACCTCAGCTCTGCTTTCATTACAAATAAAGATTATCGCATCGGACATCTGCTCATGAGCAGCGCTGACAGCTTTCTCGAGCACATGCAAGCCGCACATTCCAGGATTCGAGAGAGGAAATAACAGTGGGGCTTGTGTGAACACCTTGACCAAACTTGTGGGAATGACCCCAGTCAGATCAGACTCCAGGTTAAAACATTCCTGATTTTAATTCGCAGAATAGATGAGTGTTGGTCTTTTATACTTAAATAACGGACGCATAGAGCAGATGAGTTGCATGTCCCTAGTCACACAGATGTAAAGAGAATGTGTGCAAAACACTTGTCACAATCCTTGCATTCCTTTACTCTGGCCAGGTATCTAAAGAAATTTGCAGCATCTGGTCTCCCAGGATGTTTCACAGCATTGCCAAAGGCCTCCTGTTTTGTACTCCCGTGAACCACATGATTCTGCATGGCGTTCCTTTGTGTCATTCATTCACGCCTCCCCTTCGCCTTCTAGTCTAACACATCTTCTGAGCCTGCTTTTCTTTTAAGGGCGTTTTACTTGGTACCCTGCTTCCTGCGCACTAATCCAGGTTTCCACAGAGATGCTGCCTCATTACCATCCACCTCCTCAGCCCACTTACCTGTGCTGCCTTTCTCTTTATCTTACCCTAGTTTATTCTTAACTGCCTGGTAAATGTTCTGTGCTTGTTCATGGTCTCCCTCCTCCACTAGGATAGAAATTTACTAACCTAGGAATTCATCTCTCATTCACCAGAATGATGTCTGGACCCTTAGAGGTTTATCAAATTAGTTAAAAAGTTGTGGAATTTGAGAAACCCCAGAAACAAGTTTGTTGTCTACTATAGATAGTAATTGTCTACCATAGAGCTTACTGACTCTTCAAATAATTACGTTTTTATGAAGGGAAACTAATGTTCTAAGAGATTAAGCAAGTATGCACAAGAATATCCACGTAAGGGCATGGCCATGAAGCAGTCTCCCAAGCTCTGTACCATTGTTTAAATTAGGTAAACCCCCCTGGGTGCAGCTATAATGGGAAATACTCAAGCTGCAATGTCACCACTCCTAGCTACCATTCACTGGGTATCTCAGTGTGCCACATGCTTAGTGCATATTATCACACTAAAGTCACAGAACAACTTCAAAGGTGTTTTTTCAGTATTTCCATTTTGCAGATGAGGAAATGGACTGGGAGGAGTGATTTGGTCAAAATCATACAGTGGAAACCAGAGCAAGTGTTTGAATCCTGGTGGTCTCATGTAAATAAATTAGAAGCTGGGGCATCAGACCTTAATTGAGAAACAGCTATTCAGTTTCTCAAGGATGGATGCCTGGTTGTCTTTAACCTCCCTACCCCAGATATCCCTGGAGTGCACATCATTATATACTTGCCCTTACAGACCTGAGAATGGATCTGAGATATGACATGACGGCCAGAATTATGGATTCAAAAGGGTTATGAAAACTACCAGGCTTGGAGCCTCATGTCTGCTCCAGTTATGCTGACTCTCTTCCCTAGGATAGGCCCACACACCAATGAGCGGCACATTGTGCCTCTCCTGGGAGCTAGGACTGAGTCCTCCCCTCTGGAACCACTGGAGAGGGGAGCATCCTTCCAGGCTGAGGGTATAAGACCAAAATAGCCTGTGTTCACTCCCATGTCTGCCATGGAAAACTAGAAGCGTGTGGAATATGGAGACAGCACAGAGACATTTTCAAGAATGTGTGTGCCACATGGCATCAAGGAAATGGCTGGTGAAATCATTCAACACTCCTCTTGGGGCTTTCCTCAGGCCCCTCTGCAGCTCAGACCTGGCTCTTCCAGTCTGTGCCCTACTCTGGACCTGTCTTCTGCACAGGTCTGTAAGGGAGTGTCCTATAACAAGATGCATGTGAGTTACAATAAAATTCTGGACCTAAGGAGCTATTGTGGATTCAAGAGTGGACAATTCCAGGGGTCATAAGGAACTTAGCCTGTATAGATACAATCGGTCCATACCTACCAATATAAGCTATTGGTAAGAACTAGGTTCAGACCCTGGCTCTGCTACATGATAGTTCAGGGATCTTAGGCAAGCTGACTTCACTTCCCTACACCTCAGTTTCCTTAATTATAAAATAGGGCTAGTAGTATCTACATCCTTGCCTAAAGATTACAAAGAAATGGTGTTACCAATTAGGGAAACTTTGCCAATTCCTCAAAAGGTTAAACGGCATATGACCTAGCAATTCCCACTCATAGGTATCTAGGTACCCAAGAGAAAGATACATGTCACCACAAAACTTGGGCTCAAATATTTGTTAATAATTAGCCCAAGAGTGGAAGCAACCCAAATGACTATCTGATAACGATAAACAAACATGGTATATCCATATGATGGAATATTGTCATAAAAAGGAATGAAGTACTGACATATCTACTGTATGGATAAACCTGACAGCATGTTAACTGAAAGAAGCCAGAGGCAAAAGGTCACACATTGTATGATTCCAATGATACGAAATGTCCAGGAAAGTCAAATATTTGAAGACAGAAAGTTGACTGGAAGCTGGGAGAGGGAGGATGAAGAATGATGGTATATGTGAAGGTGTTCCTTTTGGGGTGATGAAATTCTAAAATTGGAGTATGATGATAGTTGCACAACTGTATAAATATGCAAAAAGTGAATTGGGTTTTTTTTTTTTAAAGATTTATTGATTTATACATACAAGAATTGGGTGCAAGCCAGAGATGCAGGGAGTGAGAGGATTCACCAGAGACGGAGTGGGGAGCAGGACAGGCAGATCCACTGAAATCAACTGCTGAGGGGAGCAGAGGGGGAGACAAGAGAGGCTGGGGATAGCTTCATAGTGCTGTGTTTTAACCCCTTGCGACACCAAGTTGGCCCCTAAAGGGTGGTTTTTATGGCATGTTAATTACATCAATAAGCTATTGAAAATAAAAAATACAAGAGAAAAGTAGGTAGAACTTGGGACACTGGGTGACTGGGTCATTATTCCCGTTATTAGGTCTAAAATTTAAAGCCCAGAGCAGTGAGCAGGGGGAAGGGCTGCTGAACTTCTCACTCCGTCTGAGCCTTCAACTGAGTGTCCCTGATTGAACCTACTGGGTCTCCTCGGAGTTCATAAATTAATAGGTGACAACACCCAGCCGCGGTTCCTGGGTTATCTCTGAAAGGGGGCTCTGGAGGCAGATGAGGAATTCCCCGCGCGCCTTTGGCCTCCGCCTGCGCAGTACCGTGCGTGAACGGGCGGCTCGCGCCAACCCGGAAGGGCCCAGGAACTCCAGGTGAGCTCGTGATTGGCAGCCCGGGGGCGGGCTCCTGGTGACGGCTGCCCCGCCCCCTCACGTCGAGCCCGTTGGCGCCATCCTGGGGGAGGTGGGCGGGCCCCGGGGTCCCCAGCGCCCATTGGGCGTGGGGGGAGCTCCATGGTGGGCCTAGGGCCCCGCCTCCGGCTCCAGGGCCGCCAATGGGCGCGGTGCGGGGGCGGGGCGTCGGCGGGGCCCGGCGGCTGAGGCGGCTGAGGTGGCCGCTGAAGCTGAGGCGGCGGGCGCGGCCGAGATGGCGAAGAGCCGCGAAGAGAACGGGCCACGCGTGCCCGCGGCCGGGGGGAGCCTCTCGGGGGCCGGGAGGGCCTGGCCCCGGGTCCCGACGCCGCAGCGGCGGACGAGCTCAGCTCTCTGGGCTCCGACTCGGAGGCCAACGGCTTCGCCGAGCGCCGCATCGACAAATTCGGCTTTATCGTGGGCTCGCAGGGCGCCGAGGGCTCGTGAGTAGCGCCGGGGCTCGGCGCAGGGGTCGGGCGGGGGCCGGGGGCCGCGGCGGACGGCCGGGCCCGCGGGGGGCGGGGAGGCTTGTCGCGGACGGAGCCGCCCGCGGGCATGTCGGCCCCCACCCGGGGCGACCGACCCCTCTCATCCCTGGGCCGTCTCCCCTGCCCCTCGGCGGACAGACCCGTCCCTCACCCGCCCTGCACTTCCGACCTGGGAGCGGACCGGCCGCCCCCTTCTCCCCGCCCCCACCGTCCAGACTGACTGACCCGCCCCCCGGGGAGGAGTGCCCTCCCAGCTGCGGGACAGAACGACGGACGCCTGCGCCGACCCCAGCACTGCCACCCCTTCCCGAGGGTTGAGTGACCCCCTTGGTCACACAGATGGCTGCCCCTCCCCCAACACATTCTCCACACACCGCCCCACTGCCCCCACACCGGGACATCTTAGGCAGATTTCAAAAGGCTTGACCGCCCTCCACTCCACTCCACAACACACGGACCCTTCCCCCCAAGACTCAGGCCTCTGGATGGGGTGACACTTGTCAGTTTCCTTGCTGACAGCCCCACCTTTGGACTCAGTCCCGCTAGTGGAAGAGTCAGAGTGCGCCCCTCCCTGTTTGGAAGCAAATTTCTCCCTGTCACTGGCAACAGGTGGGCAGACACTCCCCCTTTCGAGTACCCAAAGGGTGATTGCACCTCACCTCCAGAACAGACTTGTCAGCTGTCTTGGTGTAAGCTGAGGATCGCTGTGTAAGCTCCTTCCAAAACACAGATGGGGTGGGGGGTGGAGGGGTGTGGACAGGCAAAGACAGCAGGGTCCCTGCTCACAGCATACCCAGATCCCCCACCCCCAGAGCACCCAGGCACCCAGCTGGCAGGCAGAGAAATGTAAGACGGTGGAGTAGCACTTCCCTCCAAGCTGAGCAAACCGGGCAAGGCACATTGCCCCACGGTCCTTACAGAGATCATACTTATGCGTTGGCAGTACTCTTAGAAAGATGAACTCCAGACCCACTCCCATCCCGGCTGTCCTGTCGTGTGAGACCAGGCTCTGCACAGAACTGACAAACCTTGTGATGTGCCTCCCTGTCTCAACAGAGACAGCCCTGAGAGGACACCGACCCAGCTCCAGGGGGTACCCTACCTTCCCTTGTGACCAGTTGTGATTGCCAAGTCTCCCCCAGCCTCTCCTATGGCTTATGGAAGTGCCTTTACTATAAGAACCCCACCCCACACAAGCAACTCCATAAGTTACTTGGATTTTCCTTAGCCCCAAAGCTTCATGTTCACCAGACTTTCTTCTTCTTTGAGAAATATAGGCTCCTTCCCTAAGGAGAGTTGTTTCCTATCCACTGGGTCTTTTTCCTCCAGGTCTCAGAGAGCTCCCCTCTCTCTGCTCCTTCACTTTGACTTGACACTGTCACAATAACCCAGGGATTGACTCATGAACATTCAAAGGGGACTTAGGGTGTATTTTTTAATTAAGAAGCAGGCACCAGGAATCAGGGACCTGGGAGAGGGGTGGGGTCTTGAGAAGTGGGAAAAAAATTCCCAGTTCCATTTGTGGGGTTTTGGAAGAAAGAGCTCAGATATGCTGGTGAATTCGAGGGGGCGTATGATCCTACTACATATCTGTCAGGCAGTTAACCAGTTCTCAGGGTATGGAGCAGTGTGATATACTGGAAAAAGTCCAGACTTAGAAAGAAAGCATGCTTGGTGACAGTGTGACCTTGGGCAAGATCCTGAATTTCTGAGCCTGTTTACTTACTGTACAGGGCAAAAGTAACACCTACTCCCAAGATTACAGTGGGGATTAAATGAAATCAGATATGTGAAAGTGCCTAGCACAGTGCCTGGCACAAGTAGTGGCCAAAAAAATGTTACTATCCTTTCTTTTCCTTCTAAGGGTCTGAGAGTTGAGAAAAATGAGGGCGTACCTCTGGTATTTGTGGACAGAGAGAGGCCCCAGTGGGAGCACCTCCCTTTGGCTGTAGTCCCTAACCACACAGCCAGACATCTGTCTTCCCCACCCTCCAGCCACAAACCCAGACTCTGCAGACACCCCTGCATCACTGGTGTCTGTAATGTTGGGGCTAAGATGGGACCCCAGGTCCCCTCCACACTTTCTTGACCCTGTCATCCAGCCTATAGTTTCTGGTATCTGAGAGCTTGGTTCTTCTCTGCTTAGTTTATATTGTGGTCTGAATAAAGCCAGAAGTAAGTCCCTGCCCAAGGCCATAAGAGGGGAAGTTATGGGAAGTTTCAGGGTGACCGCCCTGAACCCAGTCTCGTGGTTGAGGGCTAGGAGTCCATGTGCTATCCCACAGAAGTGAAACATTAGCACTGATGGCTGCAGTGTTGATGATGGGGACTCTGACTTCAGATTAAAGGTCTGTTTCAGCCATTCTGGGCCAAAGGTTGTCTCAAGATGTCCAGTTTTGGCAGTTGGGGGTTGGGGAGCATGGGAAAGAAATCAAATCAGAGGTACCCTTCTCGGGTGGCGTTGAGGTACCTCACATGAGAAGACTGTTTGAGCTGAAGGTATCTTAAGAGATTTTCCAGTTTATTCCTTTTTGCTATCCAAATGAAGAATCTGAAGCTCAGAGAGGAGAATACCTTGCTAAGATCACACAGCTTATTGGTGGCAGAACCAGTACTTAAACCCAGGGTTTCTGACTCCCAGATCATTGCCTTCACCACCCATCAAATGGCTTATGGCCCCAGCAGGAATCAGGTGCCAAACAAGTAGAACAGAAAGTTCCTAGCAGGAACCTGCCCTCACCTTCCCTGGCTCAGCACTTTTGACTCCCTCAGCTGTGTAAGAAGCTAACAAGGATAGCTCGACGTGGATAAGAGTGTTCTCATTACCAGTTCTTGAAAGTGTCACCTTCAGGGTTGGGGCCAGGCTTATTCACCATTTTCTCCTCATGTCTGCAGAGAAGCAAATGTTCAGTTAATATTTATTTACTGAGTGACTTATATTGACGGACATTGCAAGTCAGAAAGCTGAAAGTGACCTTAGAGATGGCCATCAGTCACCATATGGATAGGTAGCTGAGGCCAGAAAGGAGTGATTAGCCACATGTCTTCAGACTGTTGAGACCAAAGCCAGGAATTGGACCTAGAATTTCTGATTCCCAGTCTTAGCCTTTTCTACTTCTTCACCTTGTCTGCCTTTGGAGCCTACTCTGCAGGTCCTGAGATAGACGTGGTGTGCTCTTGATCAGCACTCCGTAAGTGGGGAAAGGCAAGAAAGTAGCCAGCCAGCAAAGGACCCTGTGGGTGGCATGGGCACAGTGGTGCTGGCAGTGTTAGTTCTTTTGGCTTGACCGGGGATTGAAATGGTTGTTGAAGGCTAGAAAGGACCAGAGGAAAAGAAAGAGTGTTCTCAGCAGGCAAGGGTGGGAGGAGACATGTTAGTGTTCCTAACAAATCTGTTTTGGGCCTTTCTGTAGCAAAGAGGAGATGGTCAGAAAGAGAAAGGAGGGTACCAGTTGGATGCAGGTCTCTTGGCCCATGGGAGATGAACTGAGAGAGGTTAGCCCCCCACCTGCCTCTACTTTTCTCATGTGATTGCCAGAGCTAGCTTTCTGAGATTGGTGCTTCCCATTCAACTTTAGTCTGTTCAGTACCACAGGCCAGATGAGGCGAGGAACTATGTTCTCTGGGATCCCCTGGGTATTGTCTTCCTGTTAGGGGAGTGAGGGATCTGAGCTGAACCCAGGGAGAAACATCTGGAATAGCAGCATTATCTCTGCTGATTTGGTTCCCTTGTCCCCTGGGTCCTTCACCACTCCTAGCTAACTATCGCACCCCTGTGACTTTGGAAGTCATAAAACTGCCTTAGTTGGCATGTCTATGAATTTAGTCTGTGCCAGAACCTACCTTTCTGCTTTCCCACTGCCTCCTGCAGTTTGTGAGCTAAGAGCATCCTCTTTTCTTGAACTGTTAAAGTTCCCCAGAGAGCATGGAACTGGCAGTGGAGTGGTCCCTGGGTGGCCCATCTGGAAGGAGGCATTTACACATGCAGGGCCTGGGTCTATGACTAGACCACAGACTCTTCATTTTCTCTCCTTCTCCTGACTTCAAAGGAAAATCCGGTTTGGTGACCCTGTGGGTGTTCTTGGGCCTCAGACAAGACTCAACTTGGTGAAGGAGGGAGCCGGCGTACCAGCTGCTGCCCTGGGAAGGTGCCTGTGTGTCCGCCTGCTAGGAAACCCTAAGCTGTGGGAAAGAGATAAGCCGCTGGGGCCTGCTTGATGTTTTTTGTCCTCCTAGCATCTGGGTCTGAAACAGGACCTCCAGAAGGCCAGTGAGGCCTGGCCACTGTCCAGCCGTCCAATCTATTTAAACTGAAGTGGAGGAAAGGTGTATTCCCTCCTTACACGAGCTCTGGAGTTTGGCTGTGTGACCTTCGACATGTTGCTTTACTTTTCTGAGCCTCAGTTTCTCATTGTGAAATGGTTATAGTAGTACTGACTTTGCATGGTTGTTGTGAACTATAAATGAGCTGATGTTTGAGAAGAGCCTACACATAGGTAGGGACGCAATGAATGTTCTCCTCTTAGACTGGAGTAGCTAGTGGTTCTGTGTTTTCATTTTCTACTCTCTACGTGGCTGTGACGATGAGCGTCAGTAAGGGGCATTCCCTATTGGCAGTAGTGAACCCTAACAAAGAGTGAATCCTCACTTTCCTTTGAGAGGACTGGTTATCCCATTCTATAGACAAGCACACTTAAGATCTGAGAAGAAAGTGTTCAAGGTTTGCCAGCTGGTAAATGGCAGAACTGGCACTGCAACTTGTTTCTCAACACTTAATCTAGTGACTCAGTCTTGCTAAGATGGCAGCAGGCAGAGTGCCAGGTGCTCACCGGTCCCTGAGGCCCCCACACCCAGTGGAAGAATAAGCAGAAACCTGGCTACCCCCCCATCTTAGTGTGGAGGGCAAGGCAGGTCTCAGTACAGTAAAAGTCTAGGGCCAGCCAAATCAGAGAGGC